ATCTGTAGGCTGAGTGCAAAGGCTCCTTCCCTGTGGTCTTGACTGTGCTATGTCAGACAATGAACCCAGGGACTTCTGTGAGCAGCAGATCCAGGGCCTGCCTGACCCCTGTGTACCCGGTCCCCAGGGTCTGGGTAAGGTAGGCCCTTTACTGTTTAGCAGCGAGGATGAGTTAGATCGCTGAAGGCCAGAGCACCTGTCTGCCTACCCAGCTGGTGGGACACATCTGAGCTCCTGGAAACCCTGTTCTCCACAGGTATAAACTCTGGTATAGAGGAGATGGCCTGACCTTGGAAGTTTCACCTATTTCCTGCACTTCATTTCCTAATGCCTTAAGCTGCCTGCCCATAGAGGCAACTGGCAATCATTGCTTGTGTGCCCTCTGTGAGAGGCCAAGAGAGAGGAGGTAGTGAGAATGCTTTGCAAAGTAGAAGTCCCAGTGGTGGGAATTCAGGCATTTGGGCCAAGCTTCTAGGGGAGAAGTTGTTAAAGGGGGCAGGGTTCTTCCTGGGCCATGCCCAGCAGCAGCCCAGATGCCAATTCCAGCCTGGCCCTGCCTGCCTTCCTTCCTCTGTTGGATATTTTCTCAGCAGTCCTGAGGATCGCAAGGGAAGCAAGCCAGAGGGGAGGAGCCCAGAGTTATAAATAAACAAGAATAATACCCTGGAGTCATGGAAAGGGCTCATGCCCCTCACTGACTGAGTGGCCTTGGTCAAAGGACTTTACCTTAATGGCATCCATCTTTGGGCATCTAAGACAGACCATTCTAGAAAACAGACGGGGTTGGCAGGTGGAGCCCCTGTGGTTAATGGTATCTCAAGAGCTAAAGCCCACATCTCTCTGTTCCAGTGACTTCGGCTGGAACAGCGGCTCAGCAAGTGGTGGATCAGGCCACAGAAGCAGGGCAGAAAGGTCTGGTGGGGCTGGTGGGCAAGAGGGTGGATAGCCCCAGCACACCTCCATACTCCACCCAGCGCTTGTCCAGACACACTCTCTCCTCTGCAGACCCTCTATCCTCACTGCATCCTGGGGAGGGAGCCCCAGGGGAGGCTAATCCCTGCATGGCGGTGGTTCCCCAGGGTCCCGCCCTCAACTGCTCTTTCCTTCCTTCCCCAGCCATGGACCAGGTTGCCAAGACTACCCAGGAAACCATCGACAAGACTGCTAACCAGGCCTCTGAGACTTTCTCGGGTTTTGGGAAAAAATTTGGCCTCCTGAAATGACAGAAGGGAGACATGGGTGACTCCCTTTGAGGCCCGGAGCCCTGGCAGGCTCTTCTTGGTGGGCCACCTGATTAAAACATGTAATCCTACCCTGTGCCCACTTCATGACTCCTTCCACACTGGGCCCAGCCCTCCCTCGCTTAGAGCAGAGCCTCAGCCCAGAAACTCCAGAGAGTCCTGCATTCCAAATTCGGAGGAAACCCAGACTGATTGTTCAAGAACTTATTTTCCTTTTCTCAACCGCGTATCCCCACTCTCCCTTATTTTAAGTTCAAACCCCATTTAGGTACGTGCCTCTCCCCGCTCCTGATTCCAAAACCGCTCTCCCAGCTCCAGAAACCCGGCCCTTCCTAGAAAGGGCATACTCGATCCCCAGATCCTCCAGGAGCTCAGCTCTGGGCGGGGGACTAAAGGTTCCAGCGGCCACGGCCTCGGGAACTTCTCCCAGTGAGCTGAGCCAGAAGGCTGGGAGCATCGAGGCAATCCAGAGCTGGGCGCCGGGGAGGACTTCAGGCGGCAGGAACTCTCGGGGAAGACAGGGGACGCAGGGGAGTGGTTCTGGCCCTAGCCACTCTAACCAGCCCGTCCGGTGTTTGTGAGACTGCCGCACCCAGCGGTGAGGCACCGGGCGGGACCAGGAGGGCGAGGACACGCCCCGAAGACCTGGGCTCCGCCCGATTGACTTGGTTGGCGCGGCCGCCAAGAGCCCCGCCCACGACACGCCCCCTGGGAGGGCCCTGCGGCGCACAGGGCGGTGCACGTGAGCGTGGTGCACGTGGGCGTGAAGCGCAGGCACCCGGCAGAGTGCGTGCGCGCGCTAGACCACTCCCGTTGGCACCCCTTCCGTTCCGGATGCACCAGTATCTTCTGGCCTAGGGTGGAGGCTGGCGTTTTTGTCGGGCAGGTCCCCAAGACGGTCTAGAGTTCGCGCAAGCTTTATTCCCTCCAACCTCCCCTGCACGTGTCCACGTGTTCATGCACGCGATACCAGCTCTGGGTAAGTCCTGCTGGTGGGTGACTCATCGTTGCCACAGGATAAACCCAGCCCTGGCGCCGGGCGCTAGCGGCTCTCTTCATCCGAACCCTTGCCACACCTTGGCTGGTGACGCCCCATTCCCTTTCCCCACCTCCCCGCCTTGGCACACACTGTTCCCTCCGTCCGTATAATCTTGTTCTCTTCTGGACGAGGACATCCATAGTCATGACGTTTCACCTCTGGCTACAAGATGTTGGCTACAAGGCACTTCCAGTTCAGGAGAGACTGACAGAAAAAAAGCGTCGTCTTTGCTTCACATTCGAGACCGGCTTTCCTAGAGGCCTTCCGCGACCGGCCAGCAGGGGGCAATGTCGTGTCCACCCCCCACCCCCTCCCCTTCACGGACCCCAGCCCAGGTCTTTATGTGTGTAACCATCTGCCCAGGGGACCTTTAGTTTCTCCAATCCGAGATCCCTCCCAAGGAAGCAATAGGTTTCCTTTCTAATCCTTAATATCTCTCACCCTCACCCCAGGGCCAAGCTCAGTTTCATGGTTTGTTCCAGTTTCTGACTTCCCCAAAGAAGGCCTCACCTGGTCTACAAAATGGGCCAAGACCTAAAGGGAAGGTCCTGGAAGAGATACCTGGAGTAATGTGGAGGTGCTTCGCAGCATCTCCAGGAGCCCCTGCCCCCAGGAGAGGATGCCAGGGTTGGGAGAGATCACGTGGGGCCACACACAGAGGAGGGTGGCGCTGAGCTATCAGAGCCCTCAGATCCCTTTTGGTAGGCTGCCTTCCCCTGCCTGACGCAGGAGGAATCCCAGTTGGCCCCACAATCCTTCTTAATCCTGTTTTCCTCCTGAGTGTTGGCTTTAGGAATGAGTGTGTGAGCCATCTCAGACCAAGGAGAGGAGGAGTCGGGTCTGAGGGCCAGGAGGCTTCTAGGAAAGGGTTTTTTATCCTCAAAAAAAAAAACCCCCCAAAACGAAGAAGCATTTCTTCTTCTTCCACTGGACATTTTTGTGATTGGAAATGATGCTTAGAACTCTGGCAGCCACTTCTAACCTCAGGAGGAAGGAGCTTGAGGAAAAGCCAACTTGCTGATCAGGGCAGAGCAGAAGTCTGAAAAGAATCTAGATCCCAAGTTATTTTCTTGAGTCCCTAACTTAACCAATCCTGCACCTGCCACACTCTAGGCGAAAGGATCAGTTTTCTCATCGTTTAAGCAGCTGTGAAGTAGGTGTCTATTACAAAGAAAAGCTAAAATCCTGATGTTACCTCAATGATACTAAGGTCCTTTATTTGCCAGCCTCACTCACCTCCTCAGCCTCCTTCCTCAGTACCCCTTCCCTCTCAGTCTCAGCCATGTTAACCTTTGTTCATTTCCCTTGTCATCGTGCTTCAGCTCACCTCAGTCTGTGTGTGTGCTGTTTTTTTTCTGCTTGGAATGCTGTCCATCCTTCCTCATAAATCACCCTTGTCTAGGTGGCTTCTGCCCTTTCATCCTTCAGATCTCAGCTTCCCAGATCGGCCCCAACATACACAGAACGGGTCCAGCCACTGCCAGTGTACTTCTTTTCCGCACTTACATACTAATGAGTGGCTGTCCTGTGTGCTTGGCTGTGATGGTTGTCCACAGGCAGCAACCGAGTCCTCTGTGCGGATTAGTGCACGCCCCGGGCCTCGAGAGGGGCTCTGGCAACATCTGCCGGATGAAAGCAGGGATGATGGTCCGTTGGTTCTCCTCCCAGATAACAGAGTTGTCCTGCTGGCTTCACTCTAGGACCATCTCTACAGCGCAGCCCCTTCCGCGTCTCTCTGCCCCGTGCGTCTGATGCTCCCACGCACTGTGCAGATGCCTCTTTCTGCATTCCTCTATTCCCCCACACCGAGCCCTGGGGATGGGCCAGGTTGGGCTTGTCTTTGGCTCTGTGTCTGGGACAAGGTGGACATGGAGCTCGGGAGCCATGGGAGCCTGTAGGAGCCCACGCCTGTCTCCATGAGGTTCATGAAGTTAGTGAAACCCAGATAGGCTGAGGAGAAGAAGGCTGTGACCACTGCACCTGTTGGGTCTTGGTCAGGGCTCTAAAGACGATTCTACCATTAACAGTTCCTCAGGTAGTTCCTGATTCTCCAAATCCCAGTCCCCGAACTAGCCAAACACAAAGTCACTAACATCACATTTTGGACTTTAGCTCTGATTCCCATCAAATTACAGATGAGAATGGCAGATTTTTCTGCTTTCCACCTTCTCTCCCTTTCTCCTTTTTTTTTTTTTTTTTGCTTGTTGTTAGTTGTCTCATTTCTACTTTGTGAAAATACATAGCATTTACATTCCATTCCTCCACACCTTTTTCTTGTCTTAGATCTATAACTGAAGATATTAGAAGCAGCCTGCCATTGGTCTGCTGAGATATTTTCTATCATCTCTTGGTTCATGGGAGTTAGTCCTCTAGAAGTTTCCTCAAGAGTGAAATATTTTCAGATGAACTGAGAAGATGTCTGGGATGTGAACTGAGAATTGTATAGCTAGGCCCCTTGGGTTATAGCAGTGTGTCCATGGTGTTCTGTTTTTTGTGTGTGGCATTTTCTATTTTTAAAAAGGTTAAAAAGTTTTAAGAAAGAAGAGCTCATGTGAACCATATTCTGTGTTCCTAAATGTGTGGAAATGTTAGTCTGTAGCCTTTATACTTTATCCTCAACCGGGTTTGAAATTTTCAGCTCACAGTTTCCTCCTTGAGTGTCTTCTAGATATGGCTGCAGTGCCTTCTGCCACAGAAGATTGAATAATTTCTGTAAGTCTGATTTCTATTGCACTGGAATCTCTTCTTTTTAAAAAATGTTTATTTATTTTTGGCTGTGCTGGGTCTTTGTTGCTGTGTTGTTGTTCCTTGTTGCCCCAGAGAGTTTCAGGAAGGGGAAATGGGACTATTTAGAATTTAAGCTGCTGTCTTGTTGCTTCCAGACCTGGATGTCTGGCAGGCTAAGCTGGTGTTCTCTGTTTATAGAGAATCCACATACTCTCTGCCTTTTACTCCCTGCCCTCACCCTGGGAACTTGCCTCTTGAACCGCATTACCCATCTCCCTTACCTTCGGGACTTGTTGGGTTCAGCTGCAGGGGATATCAGTAGGAGATGGAGAAGAGAGCTTATTTCTCCTGCTCCCTTCTTGCTGGGCATGGTTGGGCAGTGGCCTTGTTCCTCTGCTGACGGTGGCAGCTCCTGTCTGCTGACCCTCTCCTATAGCTGGAGCTCTCATCAGGGTCTACAGCCCCTCCAGGCCAAGGGATATAATAACCCCCATTGCTCAAAGTCCCTGGCAGCCTCGCCGTCCCTCATTAGCTCCCTTAAGTCTGCCCACACCTTTGTGAACTGTCCATTTCCTCAGCTACCCCTTTGATGTGCCCTTTGCCCATGGGTGTATGAGAGCTGGGTCGCTAGGGAAGTCTTCTTTTGGTGACTGACAAACCAAGTCTCCGGGAATCTCTTCTTGGCTCCCCTGTGACTGGAAGGGGTCTGTATGTACAAGATACATGGGCTCTGTAGGTACTGGGAGATCAAATCCATGAAGCAGAAGTAGGAGAAAGCATAGGTAGGATGACAGTTATAAAACTCTTGCTGTTCATGACATTTGCAGTCACAGGAGAAAAAAATTTTTTCATGCTTCAGATGTGAGACAGCCCTAAGTGTTTAAGCATACTTAAACTGCGTAAACTTCCCCTCCCCCCCCCCAGAATTGTTAATTGCTCAGTTGGCAAATTGCTTTTGAAAAATTGGCTCTCCTTGACTTGATGGTGGAGTCATCTGGTCCTTTGCCAGACCTGGGTTGTTGAGCAGATTCCATTTGAAGAATTAGTTGGCTCTTGTCAAAGCTTGACTCTCGCAGCCCCGAGTGTAGGACTTGACCTTCTGACTCAGGACAGGCTGACTTGGCTGCCTGTGTTCAAGGCCTGCTCTGTTGGGACCCATCATGACAGGCTTCTTCCCAGATGGGGTGGTTCCTACCTGAGTCACCCAACCTCATCCAGTTAGGAGTAGCCCAAGCCCAACCCCTTAGACCAGAATCCTTCTTAGCAGGGTGTGAGACTGTCCTAGGTTCTTTGGGCTGGAAAGGAGTCCACCCTATGGGAGCCCGGATGGGCTGGGCTGTGCTGAGAGGCCAGGGAGCTGCTCAGAGCTACAGTGGGAAGGCTGGTGGGACTAGAAGTGGGCCAGAGCACCAAGGTCTGGGGCCCAAATCCAGTCTTGGGCAGCTTGGCCTCTCCAGGCCTTCCCTCTCTCTGTTGCATTTGGGATCTGTACCTGAACCCAGCCTTGTCAGGAGATTTGGGGCCATGATATGTTGTCACTGGACTCCGGGTGCTCACACCAGGGCCATGCATTAAGGAGGAGAGGGTCCAATGGGCCGGGGGATGTAGTGAAGGTAACAGCAGTCTGACAGGGAGGAGGAAAAGTGTAGCCAGAGGGCTCCTAGCTGGGACTGGGGCCAGAGTCCTGCTGAGTGGCCTAGCCCTGATGGGCCTGTCGAGGAGCTGATGAGCTCCCAAGGAGGGAGCCACAGTGAAGAGTACCCAAGGGTGAGCGCTGGCTGGGTGGGGTCGTGGGGTCTGGGAGCCATCCCAGAACTCGTGGGTGACACCGCCATCCTGTCCAGAGGTCCAGCAGAAAGGACCCATGTGGGGGTGAAGGACACACACAGCCTCAGAGGAAAGAGGCAGGGGGTTTTGATGGGCCCAGGGAATGTACCTGTGGGTCTCTCAGGCCAGTTCCTGCCAACCATGTCCCAGAAGTGCCCCCACCCTTGGCAGTGTTGTCCTAATACCATGAGCAGAACTCTCTGGGATTTGGATGTAACAGGGAGGCCAGAGTCATCTAGACCTGCTTAAACTCCAGGGCCCCTCACTTTCATGGCCCCTTCTGAGTCCACAGGGTCAAATATATATATGTGTGTGTGTGTGTGTGTATATATATATTTCACATGAGTAGTAATACTCTTTTTCTTAAAGAGACTCTCCAAATTGTTTAAGACCTGATCAACTCCTGCTTATGGCATGTGTGGGGCTATGGCCTTGTGACCTGGAGTTCCTGCTGCCTACAGCATCCACTGCCCACCCCGGGGGGGGGGGGGGGCTGGCCACTGCCCAAGGCCTCCCAGCACCACTCAGGAATGTGGGAGAGCCTTGACTCCTTAAGCCTATGTCAAGTAAACACTAATTAGACCCAGCCACTCCCTCCTAGACTCCTCTGAGGGGTAAGGAAGCCGGTATGGGGGGAGCAACCTCAAATTCCTGCCCCAGGCCTGGACTTTATGAGCAAGTCCTTGAAAGGGCCTTCCCTCCATGACTCCTAGCCAGTTGGGGGTGTCTCATCTCCAAACCCTCTCACTCTGAGGCAGCCTTATACCCCTGCCACTCTTTGTTCCACCCATTGGTTGGTCAGGGCTCACTGCCAAGCAGCATGGACCTAGCTAGCATCCCTAGCACATCACTGATAAGAGGGTGGGAATGGAAGTTTACCAAGAGTTTGCATGCCTGGCCCCACCAACTATCAGTGACAAGGCCAGGAAGGCATGGCTGCCCCCATTTTATAGATGAAGAAACTGAGGCTCAGCTGGGCTAGTGACTAAGGGAAGCAGCATGTGATACGTGGCTTGAGGCATCTCTCTCCATCCTGAGTAACTCGGAAGGCAGTCTGGCTCCCTAAGTGTGTAATGTTTCAGGGACTGGTAGAGCTTCTTTCTGGGAACTCTTGCTAGAGTCGGAAGCACAACCCCAGATGGTGGCGGGGTCCTCCATTTACTCCCCTAGCACCTCTTGGGTGGGCACTTCTGACTTCACAGGGCTTCTGTAAGAGGCCAGGCCCCAAGGTGCAAGGAGGACTGGGTTCACTTACCTGCAGGCTGCCTCAGTGCTGGGCCACCCAGGTGCTCCCATGAGTGAGAACCAGGTAACTGCAAGTCAGGGATGACTAGACTTCTGGTCAACGTTGCAACCTTTTCTACCTTGGGCCAGGCATGGCCCTCATTTTCCCTACTCCCCCAGACTGTCCAGTGGAGACTGCAAGGCCACTCTGCTGAGCTGAGTTCTTGGGAGTAGGGAGGGCAGCAGCCTCCACTCCACTTGTATTCCTGGCCTAGGGGCTGCCCGGGTCCCCAGGCTGACAAAATGCTGCACCCCTGACTAGGTCACCCGAGGGATAGTAGGCAGCGGGCTGGAAGTTCTCGGCCTTGTCTGGATACACAGCTGTGCCCAAACTGCCATGAGTCCAGGGGACTGGCAGAGCTGAGGTCCCCAAATGCCTCTTACCCCACAGGGCACTAAGGCCTCTTGCCTTGGGAGAGGGGTATGTCTGAGAACTGACCTCTGTCTGGCCTCATGCCCCCGGTCCCTGCCCCTCATAGGGTCTCAGGTTATGGGGTGTGGGGGTCTCATGCTGCCAGAGGATCACTTCCCCAGCCACAGCACTGGGGTGGCCCCACCCAGCTTCTTCCTTCTGCTGCCTGTGCTGACTCACCACCAGGGTGAGGGCTTGTGTCCCGGAGCCAGGCCGGGCATCAGAGGCATCTATAAAAGCAGACTGCTCCAGGCCCCAGCATCCTGCTTGATTACCACCTGTTGCCACACAATGTTGGGAGGCCTGGGGAAGCTAGCTGCCGAAGGCCTGGCCCACCGCACAGAGAAGGCCACCGAGGAAGCTGGTAAGGGCCCCGGGGCTCCTTCCCCCTTGCACTGTTCCTCCCGCTGGGGGACTCAGGACAGACTTGACTGGGCCAGTGAAAAGCTGATCCCAACAGGACTGGGGCGGGCTTTGGCCCCATGGAGAACCAAGGATGTTCACTCCATAGGGATGGAGGTAGGGGACTGTAGAAGCGAAACCAGTAGGAGCCATCAGAGGTCTACTGCCCCAGCAGCCCTCCTGGTCAGACCTGTTTTGTCTCCCACCCACCGGGCTTGACACATTCCTGGGGTCTGTGACTGTGGGACAGAGGCGGCAGCTCAGAGGAGGCCCCTGGTAGCAGGAGGTGAGCCAAGGTGCTGGGTGAGCAGCTGGTGACTTGACCCGTTGCCCCTGGAAACTGGCAAGGGGTGGGAGGCTTTCATGGTAAAAGAGCTTATTCTAAGTATCCTATAGATGCTACAGGAAAAGGAAGGTGGATTTTAATTTTTCACCATAACTTTAAAGCTTCAAAGATTTCTTGCTCAAGAGTCACCGAGTCTGATTGTGTTCAAAGTCAGCCCCCAGAGTTTACACAAAGGACATTTTCAGTTTCTTCAAAGTCCCCAGAAACTCTTTTTTGTATGTAGGCCCTTGGATACGGAGAAGCTGATCCAAGCCCTACCCGTTTGACATTTTGTGAAAGACAGCTTGTGCCCAAGTGTGCTGTTCTCTTTCTAAATGGCTGCAAACATGTCTGTGTTTCATTTTAGCTTTGCACCTGCTGTTGCAAAGTCCACTTTCATCTTGAGCAGCTCTCTGAGCGCTGTGTTATTTCCAGTCTATGGACAAGGGAACCCAAGCAGTGGAGTTAATTCTAGGAGTTAGAATCTGAAATAGTTCTTCTGACCCAACATCTTTCAGTTCTAGCAGGTTACCACCCTAGGAGGGCAGAGAGTTTTGTCTTATTGGAGGAATTGCTTTGGGGGACTTGGTGTTGCCGGGAGCGGGGGAGTGGAGGAGGTGGTGGTGAAGCTTTGACACTCAGCCTCCTGCTGTGGCCTCCATCCAGTCGTACAAAGAACCGCAGCTCACATGGGAGGCATGGTCACCCGGGAAATAGGCCCAGCCTTAGCTCCAGGTCCCCAGCCGACAGGAAGGCTTGCTAGTCAGCATTCCAGGCCTTGCTGGGCGAGGGACATGGAGAGCCCTGTGCCCTCAACAGCTTGCTGCTAGCAGCCAGGTCCCACTCCAGTCTCTGAAGGAAGCCAGCTGGGAGTTCTTGGTGAGCAGCTTGTCCTGTCCTGGGGGGAGCAGCATCCCTGAGGCCCTTTGGGGATACCCAGGGCTGTCTGGGCCCTGCCGTGAGGACAGGCAGCTTACACTGTGCTCTCACTCTGGGCTTGTCTCATCTTTTCAGTTCACGTTGTGGAGGGAGTGGTGAAGGAGGTGATAGATCATGCTAAGGAGGCTGGAGAGAAAGGTAAGGCCAAGTTCGGGGTGGGAAGGAGGGAAGCTGGGTGCTGGCAGCAACCTGTTCCTTGCCTAATCAGGTCAAACCCTGACCCCGATGTTGCTTCCTTTCAGTTGGTGTACAATTACCTGCGCTCATCTGAGCTCTCACACTGCGTTTTGCTAAAGCACAAGCCGTCTAGGTAGTCCTCTCTGTGGAATGTTAATGGGATGGTGTCACAAAAGATCAGGTGGCAGTGTGCTGGCACAAAACATTGGAGACATAAATTATATACGTACAAATACGTATTTATTTAAATGTTTATATGTTTGTTTCTATGTTTCTGTATCACAATGTACAAAGCTTGTGTATGTCTCGCTCCTTACAACAAAATAGTTTGCAAATGGATTAGGACTTAAGTATAAATACATGAAATTATTAAATTCATAGAAAAGAACATAGATTTTGGCATAATCTCAGAGAGTGGAAGATCTTTTTAATGATGACAGAAGCTCCAAAGGCCATAAAGGAAATATTAGGTAAATTGGACAGTGCGTGCTCAGTCACTTCAGGCGTGTCCGACTTTCTGTGACCCCATGGACTATGGCCCACCAGGCTCCTCTGTCCATGGGATTCTCCAGGCAAGAATACTGGAGTGGGTTGCCATTTCCTTCTCCTAAATTGGGCAGTATACAACTTTAAAAATTTCCATAGTGAAAAAAAAATAACATAAGCCAAATCAAAAACCACAAACTGAACAAAAATATTTGTAGTAGGAATGATAACCCAATATAAAAATGACCAAAAGATATAAACAGACAGTTCACAGAAAAATGAAGCCTGAGTAGGCAGTACACCCACAAGCAGATGCCCTATCTCACTAATAGCTGGAGAGATGCAGGCTGTTTGGAGAAATAAAAGCGAGTGTGAATGCCTTCATCCAGGAGCTGCGCTATGCTCTGTCCCACAACTCCTGCAGGGTGCAACCCAGTAAGACTGCCACATCCCACAGGACACTCCAGGTGACACCAGCCCAGCGAGTGACTTGAATTGTTTTCTTTGCTCACATGGACATTCTTCTTCTTCCTTCCCAACAGCCATTGCTGATGCTTTAAAGAAGGCCCACGAGTCTGGGGACAAAGTGGTAAAAGAAGTCACTGAGACAGTGACCAACACAGTCACGAATGCTGTCACGCATGCAGCAGAAGGCCTGGGCAAACTGGGACAGTGAGCTTGCCTGCCACCATCAGGCTCTTCCTGAATCGCAATAAAAAGCTGAGATTAAATGTGTACACTGAGCCCTGGATTTGTTCCTGTTTGGATGGAAACATTGCCTGTGTCCTGAGTGTCCCCTCTGCAGGGACAGGAGGCCAGGACCTTGGCTTCCACTGAGGGTCACGTAGTTCCCCGTGGTTAATCAGATGTGCTGCTCTCACTATGATTTCTCATGTCAGCAAGGAGCTCTTGAGGACTGTTAGTGTCTGTGCTACATCTCTTAAAAAGACTGTTTCCCTAGAAACTGTACAAAGCTTTCAAACACCTCAGTGCTTCAAGGACACCCCAAGAAAGGACCACAGTTCAGCTTATGTGTTCTTTGGGTTTTCTTTGAAATGTTCTTACAGAAGTCGGGGAAGATAACAGACCAACTTGAGCTGGGCAGGCTCAGGCAGTTTGAGCTGCTTCGTGTTCTCAAAGAGGCTTTAGAGAACTGTTTCTTCTGGATAGTCACAGAATCATGACTGTCATGGAGGAACTGAATCTGCCCCCTGTTGGAGCCTCTGTCAACTCTCTGCTCAGAGATGTGGTTTAGGCTTAAATTGGCTGTAGTAGGCAAGAAAGCCTGGCCTTCCCTCCTTCCTGTCATGAATGAATCAGTACTATAAAAGGTGCTTTGTGGAATGAGTTAGTTGCTCACCATATTTCTGATGCTCTTTCAGAATTGGCTTCACCGGTTTCTGAATGGCCCAGAAATATCCAGTGTCCTGGCTTGAAACATTTGCTACTGTCCAGCTGGGTCTGGACCTTATATCTTCGTTTGGTTTCTGATGACACTTGAATTCTCCCAATTCAAACCTAAGCTCAAAAGGATGTGAATTCTGAGTGTTAGTGTCAATCAGAGCAGACTCTTTGAATGGCAGTTCCTCTTAGCAGAGTTTATTTGATTCTTCAGGTACACAGACAGAGGCCCAAAGGGTGAGGATACATCCGGACATATTTGTGATAATACGAGATTAGAAACACCCTAAAATGATAATCAGAAATCACTTGGTTGGCAAGCTTAATTGTGCTTATTAGGTTTGACACACAATATAGAATTGACATTTATTACTTATAGTATATTTTTAATGCCTTAGCATGAAAAATGGAACTTTTGCTTAGATGGCCATCTAAGAACTGGATGACAATTACTGCATTTCTATGAAATGGAATGCTCTGTGGCTGTTAAGGGACTTCCCTGGTAGCTCAGCTGGTAAAGAATCCACCTGCAAAGCAGGAGACCCTGGTTCGATTCCTGGGTTGGGGAGATCTGCTGGAGAAGGGATAGGCCACCCACTGCAGTATTTTGGCATCTTTGGTGGCTGTTAAGAATGAGGAAAATGTACATATATCATTAGGGAACATGTATAAATGAGTTAGTAATTTGTGAAATATATATGTAGAACTAGTTCATTTTTTTTCAAAGCAAACAGAATGGAAGAAAACTGGTAGAGTATATATATGTATATATTTTTATCAAATGTTAACCATGTATATATGTATGTCAGGTATTAACTGTGTTTCTTTGGAAATATGAGGAATCTTCACCTTTTCTATTATATAAATGTAAATGATGCTTGAATTTAAGAGAAAACCAATACAGATATATTTTGAAATGTGGTTATGGAGGCCAATTCTATCTAGCTTATTGAAGGTTGCTTCCTAATTAAGTGCTACTTAAAGTTCGCTGGTTTCATAGTTGAAAACCAGTGTAATAGGGAAGTACCTTGGTATTCTATTACAAGTTGATCACTAAAGGGATATTGCCTGTAAGCTTAAATTATGGGCAAGGGCCCATCTCTGGAAAAACCTGCCTCCTAGGTAATGAGCATTAAGCTAAAATACCTTTATTTAGCTCTCAGGAAACATGCTGACCAGGCACACCAGTGAATGACTGCAGGGAGGAGGAAATGAACACATCTCTCTTGGAGGCTGGTGGGAACCAGGAAGTGTTTGACTTTACTTCCTCCCCTTTAAGTGTGAAAGAACCCTACTTCAGGCAGGATGGTTCTTTGGAATGTGAGGCCACCATCTTCTTGTGTGCTGGCTTTCTGAATAAAGTCGTTAATCCTTGCCCCAACAACTCATTTCTCCACTTACCAGCCTATAGTGTGGTGAGCAGCATGAGCTGCACCAAAATTTGTTAGAGTTCAAGATTTGCTACTCATGGCTAGCCAGCCCTTGTTGGGGAGTTTTCAGGTAAGGCCCTAGCAACTGCCCGGCCACTTAACCTGAGGGTCTTCGCTTCAAAATTCCCCGAAGCAGCACCGGCTTCCCCAGAACTTGAAAATTGAAGCAACAAATCGATATTTAAGAGTTGACAAGCTCCATCCACACAGTAGGGTAAGTTGCTCTGGTGTGTTCAGCTCTGCAGGGAGGAGGAAATGAACACATCTCTCTTGGAGGCTGGTGGGAACCAGGAAGTGTTTGACTTTACTTCCTCCCCTTTAAGTGTGAAAGAACTCTACTTCAGGCAGGATGGTTCTTTGGAATGTGAGGCCACCATCTTCTTGTGTGCTGGCTTTCTGAATAAAGTCGTTAATACTTGCCCCAACAACTCATTTCTCCACTTACCGGCCTATAGTGTGGTGAGCAGCATGAGCTGCACCAAAATTTGTTAGAGTTCAAGATTTGCTACTCATGGCTAGCCAGCCCTTGTTGGGGACTTTTCGGGTAAGGCCCTAGCAACTGCCCGGCCACTTAACCTGAGGGTCTTGGCTTCAAAATTCCCCGAAGCAGCACTGGCTTCCCCAGAACTTGAAAACTGAAGCAACAAATCGATATTTAAGAGTTGACAAGCTCCATCCACACAGTAGGGTAAGTTGCTCTGGTGTGTTCAGCCGGAACCTTTTATTTCCTCCTCATTTGGGGCTTTTCCTTGGGAATAAGCCAACTTGTTTTTTATTTGAGTGGGGTACCCTGCTGGAAAGCATAGAGATGTTGGACTTTTACTAGACACATGAACCAGTTCCTTTGCTCCTTTGGATGCTAGCATTGTGGGTGAGGTTTGTGTTTTGTCTGTCTTGAGTTTCCATCTTTAAAAATGGGGAATATTTTACATATGGTAATATGGATGTTTCAATGTGCAAGTTTGATGCATGAATCAGGGCACTCAAAGCTGGTGCTCTGGGACAACCCAGAGGGATAGGGGAGGGAGGGAGGTGGTGGGGTTCAGGAGGGGGGTGGAACACATGTTGAAGTATGGCAAAAACCACCACAATATTGTAAAGTAGCCTCCAATTAATAAATTGATTTTAAAAATAAATAAATACAAAAACATGTAATTGCAAGATTGAAAGAAAAAAAAAATTGGGGAATGTTTGAATTAACCCTAAAGAAAGTTCTCTGAAGCTCATTTTGGATAAGTCATCTGATTACAGCTATGAACCCCTGGGTGAGAGGACAATGATATTTTATTATACTGATAACAATGTGTGAGCACAGTACCTGTTAGGATCCCCGCAAGGGATTTAGGCAGGGTTATCTTGGGACCCTCTGTACCATGTACTGCTATCCTTGCTGTGTTAAGTACTTCATTTATGGTCTCCTATGTTGTTGGCATATGTAACACCCCCAAGACCAAACTTGAAGGTTTATTTAGGATTTTCTGCTTGTCTTTGGGTTTGTCATTTCATTTTGTTCGGTACTGTCTCTCTATCTATTTACAGCCAAATCAGTTTTGTGATATTTGAAACTCTTAATGATGTCAAATGGAGGAAACAAACAGGAAAAAAAAAACCCAACCCTGTCTCCTCTTGTCTAAAAGTGGGACATTCTCAAGAAGAAAAGGTTCCACTTCATTCCTAAAATCACCAAAAGTTACAAATAGAAGTAAAATAAATATTTGTAAAAAGCGTTTAGCCATCTAGACCAGTGATGTTGATTTGACCCATTTGCCAAAACCCAACCTCTTTTGTAACTGATAGGTTTTACATTGTTTTACCTGATTCAGGGCTGAAATTTTGGAGTGGAAACTGTGAGGTCCATGTGTGTGTGTGTGTGTGTGTGTGTGTGTGTGTGTGTGTGTGTGTGTGTTTGTATATGTTATAGGTTGTAGAAATGCCAACATTACTTAGTAAAAG